GTCACACTTGAACTCAGATGGAAATTGCAAATCTTACATTTGTATTTATATTAAGATTATAAACAATCAAACTTGCATTCATATGGAGATTATCAACAGCCACACTAGTATTCATATGGAGATTATCAACAGCCATACTAGTATTCATATGGAGATTGCAAATCTCACATTCGTATTCATATGGAGATAGTAAACAGTCACACTTGAACTCAGATGGAAATTGCAAATCTTACATTTGTATTTATATTAAGATTATAAACAATCAAACTTGCATTCATATGGAGATTATCAACAGCCACACTAGTATTCATATGGAGATTGCAAATCTTACATTTGTATTTATATTAAGATTATAAACAATCAAACTTGCATTCATATGGAGATTATCAACAGCCACACTAGTATTCATATGGAGACTGCAAATCTTACATTTGTATTTATATTAAGATTATAAACAATCAAACTTGCATTCATATGGAGATTATCAACAGCCACACTAGTATTCATATGGAGATTGCAAATCTTACATTTGTATTCATATGGAGATAGTAAACAGTCACACTTGAACTCAGATGGAAATTGCAAATCTTACATTTGTATTTATATTAAGATTATAAACAATCAAACTTGCATTCATATGGAGATTATCAACAGCCACACAAGTATTCATATGGAGATTGCAAATCTTACATTTGTATTTATATTAAGATTATAAACAATCAAACTTGCAATAAAATGCATTCATACGGAGATTATCAACAGCCACACTAGTATTCATATGAAGATTGCAAATCTTACATTTGTATTGATATGGAGATTATAAAGAGCCACACTAGTATTCATATGGAGATTGCAAATCTCACATTCGTATTCATATGGAGATAGTAAACAGTCACACTTGAACTCAGATGGAGATTGCAAATCTTACATTTGTATTTATATTAAGATTATAAACAATCAAACTTGCATTCATATGGAGATTATCAACAGCCACACTAGTATTCATATGGAGATTGCAAATCTCACATTTGTATTCACATAGAAAGTAAACAGTCACACTTGAACTCAGATGGAGATTGCAAATCTCACATTTGTATTCACATAGATAGTAGGAGTGGAGATTTGCAAATTTGTATTTGTATTTATATTAAGATTATAAACAATCAAACTTGCATTCATATAGAGATTGCAAATCCCCTATTTGTATTCATATGGAGATAGTAAACAGTCACACTTGCATTCACACAATGTATGAAGATTGCAAATCTCCCATTTGTATTCATATGGAGATAGTAAACAGTCACACTTGCATTCACACAATGTATGAAGATTGCAAATCCCCTATTTGTATTCATATGGAGATAGTAAACAGTCACACTTGCATTCACACAATGTATGAAGATTGCAAATCTCCCATTTGTATTCATATGGAGATAGTAAACAGTCACACTTGCATTCACACAATGTATGAAGATTGCAAATCTCCCATTTGTATTCATATGGAGATAGTAAACAGTCACACTTGCATTCACACAATGTATGAAGATTGCAAATCTCCCATTTGTATTCATATAGAGGTTGTAAACAGCCACTTGTATTCATATGAATATTAAAAACTTATATTCAGATGGACATTCCAATCAACCACACTGGTATTCACATAGATCGCAAATCTCATGTATTTATATGGAGATTATAAACAGCCAGACTTTTATCCATATGGATTGTAAATTGCACATTTGTATTAATATGGAGATTGTAAAGTGGACACTTGTATTCATATGAAGATTGTGAAGTGCACACTTCTTTCATATGAAGATTATGAACAGCCACATTTGTTTTGATATGGAGATTGGAAATGGCACATTAGTTTTGATATGAAGATTGCAAATCACACATTTCAGTTTATTGAGGTATAAGTTACATTTACAATGAGAATTGATTCAACATAAAATCAAATGCATTTATCTTGAGCAATTATGTATTGATTTTTCCCCATGTCAACAAAGTATTTTTGAAATATTGCTTTTAAACTAACATGTAACATAACACCAATATACAAGGTTACAGATTTAGGAAACAATATATAAGTGGAAGCATACCACAAATGACTTATACTCATGGCAGATCAAGTAAACCTGTCTGCTGCTCAGACAGCTTTTAAAAGATTCCTGTCCTGCCACAAACCTTAAATGATACACAACAATATTATTTAAATTTTTGAATGATGCATTGGATAAAACTTTCCATTAAACTAAACATGTTTTATACAGAATACCGTAACTTAGAACGTGTATGAGTATGATGAAATAACATTTAAACACATGGTCATACATGTATGTTATAACTGAAAACAAAAACCTGTTATATGTATGTATGTATGGCAGGTCAACAACAGATGATACACTCACCATTTGTTGGTACATTCAATCACCAACTCATGAAAAGATGCAGTAAACTGAAACTTGGAAGCCTTCTTGCCAACTCTTTGTAGCTTTTTCCATAAACTCATGCTAAACCAGTGATTGTTTCAACTATAAGTCATCTGTGAAATGAGAGTGACAATGATAGTAATACATATGCAGAAATGAATAGCTGAATTCTGGATTAATTGCAACTCTACTCATGCAGTTACAGCACAATGAAAGAATTTTGTCTGCGGAATTTCATTTTGGTTGAATCACACTAGTTATATGACTGAGTAATGTAAGAGATATAACAATATACACACAAGATAAGTAGTCTACAGGTATGTGCAGGGTATGCAATTTGAGAAGAGTAATCACTCTTGCAGATCAAGACCCATGAAAGCCATTATCACTCTCCATTTGAAGAGATTTTAATAGAACAGCTTGCCTAATCAACTTGCCTTACTACAGGAGAGCCATTTCTAGCTTACCAGGCATTTTAAAAGACAAGACTTGTATGTGATAAGCTGCAATATAAATCCCCATCATGACAACATCATATACCATCATATCTACCCTGTGATGAAATCGTGTCCGGTCATTTATACTGCAGCAGCTGCATGTATGTATCATGAGAGCAAAAACAACTGCCACGATCTGATGATTGTATTCATCCCTATAATATATTGTCATTCAGACAAGAACAATCACAAAGTTACAGCTGTGATACTACATAAAATAAAATGATATCACTTTCCTACCTGCTGTATGCATACTGTACACTCGTTTATATATATATATATACAATCTGATCTGAAATCAAAGAAGACAAGATTATTTAAAGAACTACAGAGCAGGAAAACTTTGCTGTTATCACAAGTCCAGACTCACATAATTTGCATTGAAAGTGATTACTGGAAACTGAAACTCAGGAAATGTGACCATGACATTTTTCACAGCAGGATTGACAACTTATGAATGTTGATGTAACAAATCACATGGAGAGAATTACTCTGTGGGTGACCACAGTAGTACAGCCTGTTATATACAGGTATACAAGTGAGAGTTCACTTCAGGCAACAGACACAATAATTCACTTTGGGTCAACGAGGCTATAAAATGAATCAATACTGAATATCATTACATGCAAAAACACACAGAGAAGTAGCTGTTTGTGAGCCCCACCATAATGCTCACACAAGCTACCTGCATACTAACACATACAGTTTATGACCACAACAGCGAGTATTTTGAAAATACTTAAATAGTTAAAGATACAAGCTTACACAAACAAGGTATTTATAGTTAACAAAATCAGGATGGCTATTACTAGCACTCAACTATGCTTTGATTGTAAATTAAACAGTGGAACATACATCACTCCTCTCATTTAATGGATATAATCTTTATAACTCTTTTCCCAGAGGAAAGAAATGGGTAATTAGAGAAGCAGTAAAAAAGAAAGTAATAGGACTAGGAGAATAATAATTAGGAAGGTTGTAATTCTGAGAAAACAAGCAAAGATGGATCAATAACTGTCAATACTGAATAATCATCTGACAAACACCCATTTAATAACGAGGCAGGTCATTGAAGATGAGAATGTATCGCTTTTCATACATAACAATTCATATAGATTATATACAATGGTATTACTGGTAGGTAGCAACCAAAGAAGAACTAGTTAATAATTAGTCTGTGATTCAGTCATTCTCTAAGCAAGCTACGATAATATAAATCACCTGAAAAATTAGATGTCGGTGAATATGGTAGAGCATATGCCATCCCAATGTTTGTCTGACAGATTACCAGACGGCCAATTTTGCTATTGAGAATATACAGTAACTACTGTAGGAAGGTATACATGTTAGTTCTATGCTTCTAAAACAATATCAAAGCAAATTCAGAAAGTGTAGATTGTAGAATAACAGGAAGTACCGGTAGCACATAGTCTCATCGTCAGTTAAGAACAATGTCCCTAGATGTGTTGATTGTCATGTCAAAAATGGCATGCTAAATTGAATACTAGTAATTACGAGTATAATAGTAAATCTTTCGAGCTAAGCATTCACACACACACACACACACACACTTCGTTAGCCACTGCTAAGAAACTGGATCGGGTCTCAAAATCAGGTTTATTAGCCCGTGCTAAGCGTTCACGTACGTTTTATTAGCACGGCTAAGGTATTTGACTTCTTAGCCCATGGCAAGGAGCTGTGTGTGAACACTACTAATTGCCTGGGATGTGTCTCGTTTTTTTTTTTTTATCTGGCTTTGTTTTCTAGCTACATTCAAATAAATACAGATATACTACAGAAAATCAATTGTATATTTCTTGAACATTGTCATGAAAAACTGCTCACAAAAAATAACACTTGGAAATGAATGTGGAGCCAGAATCTTACAAAAACTTCAACCTACAAAATGGTAATGTCTGAAACACAGATCAATTCCCCCTGTTGTTGCCTTAAGTACATGTAGTGTAGTTTACAGTATCTGGGATAATAATGTATTAAATAACAGATGGGACTTGGGTCAAAGTTATGAATAAATTACCCAGGATGAATGAATACCCATAATGCAGTGTGAAGTACTGTAGAATGTTTTTATGTGCAGGACTATTGCAAGTCTTTAAAAGACGCACAATATGTAGCATTTCACTGCCGAGAATCATTTTATTAAGACAGAGGAGTCAAAACGGCTTCCATGGAAATCATTTTACAAAACTTAAATGCTGTCTAAAAGATAAGATATCGGTGATGTTTAGTGGAAATGTGAATTATAAGTAGTAAAAACAGAAGTAAATCATTCATTCTGTACATTGTCTGACATAGTACCTATTCAGTTTTTAGTGACCGTGTCCATTATGAACATTGAAAGATATAACCAGATTATAATTACAAAACCTGCCATTTGAAAAAGTGATACTATTTTGTGAACACTTCTCAATGTGTATGTTGAGAAGTACCAGTATCCACCATGTTGAAAAATATGGTGTTGCTTCTTCAAAATGGCACCTTATCAAGGTTTTGTTCAGTCAAATCTTTTAGGAAAAAAATCATACAAAATTGTATAGAGGTGCCAGGGGAACCAAAATTTGGTACTGAAGGCTGTGAATGCCTGAGTATTGACTAGATACATAGTATATACTAGTAACAACAGAGATTAGCACTCAGATATTAAATACAGGTACTTGGTAAAATAAAAGGAAAATACTTTAAAGTTACTATAATTGAAAAGATTACTTATCTAGTCTTACGGTAACAAAGGGGTACTAAATACAACAGTATACATTAGTTTAACTGTAAAATACTAAGACTATCGTAATGCAACTTGTGTGCTCAAATAATACACAACCAATACAGTCATCTACAATGCTGTAACAGTAGGGAAGTACAAATAATTTCTACACGATTACTGAAATAGTATATTCACAGGTTTATATCAACAGAAAATAGTTAAGTATTCAATAATAAAATAACGCTTGAGTTCAACTACTGAATACTAAAGACATCCAAAATACAAAATGTTTTAAACATGCAAAGCAGGCCAAAGTTCCAAATTATGCATGTAACACTACAAGTATCAACTATAACAACAATAGGATACCTCAGAAATAGTTTGGTTTAAGTGAATACCAAAATGACACAATTTAAGGTAAGTATTCAGTAATATCACTCACCAGAATGGTAGTCACAATATGTATGTATAGTAAAATACACAATCCAGGTAAAGTACTCTGGACTAAATAAATGTATTTGACACAAAATTATTATCGGTAAGGAAATATCATGCAAAATGCAAACTACACACTGACTTGATAAGGTTACGCAATGCCAGTGCAGGCGAATGCACTAAATGCAGACTAACGTTATAGAAAATAATAAGTTTGATCACAATGTAGATCCGGGAAATGCACAACAGTAAAATGTCACAATCAATTTATGCACTTTCTACTTGATGCTGAATGTCACACGAATCAAAGTTTGGTAGATATCTGAGATGGTAAACAAGTCAGTCTGACTGGATGTCGACAACAGAAAGTCACGTGATACGAATGGCGAGACTTTTTCACAACGAAGAACAGTCTTTACTTTAGTTGAAATCTCGATGGGACAACATAATTGGTTGAGTCGACTGGAAACAGTTAATACTAGCGTACAGAACTCAAAATGTCAACGATTGTACTCACAGGAACCTGGATACTTGGTTCAACCACGGTTTCGTTCAACACAATGGCAACAGCAGACTGCAACCTCTGCGGTCGATCCACACAACCACAATTTTCGGAAAAGACTTCTGCCAGTCACTAAATTCAACGCAAATACGATTTCGTCTGTCCCAAGTGTTCCACAACATCCATAACCACTTTAGTTCAGTCTTTGGAAGGAATTCAGTTGATTTAACAGGAGAATCGACCTGCCCACACAGACGAAAACAATTCGACTGACCGCACAGACTTATTCATAAACAAAGTTATTCCAACACCATACTATAGTTGGCGCTCTCACTTATAGGCCACCACAGTTTTGGGAAGCTAATTTGCATAATTTTTGACAGATCGACTTCTCATGAACAAATTACCATCTACACTCATCAAGGCATCCACACACCAAAAATTGAGTCAAACGGTTCGGCATTTTTTGAGAAGAAGTCGTGCACAGACAGATAGACAGACGACAGACAGAAACCTATCCCATAGGCTCAGTGGACCTATGATCCGTTGAGCCAAAAAGTAAAACAATGTGCATCTGTATGGATGGTCCCTTTGTCATTGTAACTAGTCTCAACAAAATCGGTCAAGCCATCTCCGAGAAATGACAATGGACACACAAGCACCGAATTTGACTGAATTTTGGCATTATTTGATCGAATCGGAAAATAAATTGACGTGCACATGTATGGTTTACCGTTATGTCTTTGTACTAAGTTTAAAAAAAATTGGTCCAGCCATCTCTAAGAAATCACTCTGGATGGACTGACGAATGCAAAACTACAAGCCCCCTCCTGGACTTTGTCGAGATTGGGCGAGAAACTGTAGTTTTGACATCAATAATTCTATATTGGAACGTCTCCTGTAAAAATAGTTGTCAACTCTCCAAAATTTGACAATGATACTAGCCCAGAATGAACTTCCTGTTCATCACGAGTGTGAAGACAGAGTACGGTTCACATAAAATTGAAATACCTATAATTCACATATATACATTGTACCGTAAAATCTGTATTAGAAGCCGCATCCATAATAGAAGTCGCACCCATTCTTTTTGAATAATTGAGAACCAAAAAATCATCATTTCTCATATGTGTAGATGCTTTAATAGAAGCCGCATCCCCTCTATTGCATTGTACCATTTTGATAGAAGCCGCGGTTTCTAATACAGATTTTACAGTAAGTGTAATTTTAAATAGCAGTTTGTAACAATGTAACAATATTTGGGGGGGGGGGGTATGGATTAATTTAGTATTTTCTGGGTTCTGTGAAATTCAAGGTTATTCATAGTGCACATGACTGTTACTTGCCGCCTATGTGAATACACGGAAGGTCAAAGGGCAATGGAAATAAATAAAAACACTGATATTTGTTTTTTAGCACTGACTGGTGATAATTTGAGACTAAATTTATGCATTTCTCGTGCATTTCTATAGCTGAAACTTATATGGCTGACGGTATTTAAGAATAAGCTGACAATGTAAAGTTGACCCTGTTGGCTTCTCAAATTAACTACATGCATTTTATTTTTGTACCACCTTGAAAATTGTGGCTTTCATCTATTACTTAGTCTTCATGATCGATATAACCATTTTAATTCCCTCAGAGATATTTTAAGCATTTTAATAAAATAAAGATACAAGACAATTTCTAATATAATTATATTACTTCTGTACATTTCATGAAAGTATGAATTTGTTTTATGGACATTTATAAAACACATGCATTACTTTAAGTACAGGTATTTCAATAAAATAAAGATTGTAATTATATTATACGAGAGTTACAAGTTACTAATGTGCATTTCATGAAGGTATGAATTTATTTAATGGACATTTATGAAATATTTATCCTGGAAAATTTTTGTGATTCAATCAAATTCAAAAAAGATGCTCTCATTGACTATAGAGGGTATTTGGTAAAGCCTATTACTGTAAAATACTTTATTTTCGCTTGGAACTAATTTTCGCTATTTTCGCTGAAGGAATGATTCAGTGAAAATAAAATCCACCGAATATACTTTTTTTCCTATATTTTACATTCAACTCGTCAAAATCAGTGAAAATAAATTCCATACAAAACACCAAAAAAGTATTTTCAGCGAAAATTAATTCCAGCTAAAATGTATTTTACAGTATCCTATGGGTTTTCTTCAGTCATTGACAGCTTATAGGCCATCCTAAATTTGTGGTGGTTGGTTTGGTGGCATTCAACCCGGCTTCAACCATCATTTGAATTATAAAACATTTATATAATTTATAAAAATTCTTATCTTTATGAAATACACAGTACTTCTGTCATAACAAACCTGCTCACTTCATCTTCATAAGTCACAATGGCAGTTGAATACAACCAGCCAATTAACAAGCTTAGTGCACATTGGAACGTTTTCAAAGGATGTTAATGCACAGTGCATTGTTGATTGGCTGTTTGGATTTAACTGCTATTGACATTTAGAAATATACCATAGTAAGTTATCCAGGTAAGGGCCCATGCCTGGGTAAACGCCAGACTTACTTAATTACACTGCCTATGTCTACGAATTTACGTTTTTTTATTTATTTAAATTACATTATTACAAAAATAATAACAATTGATTACAGCTTATGAAAGTACCCCTTGCCGACCCTCATTGAACTATGTAGGACTATGCTATATGAGTACAAAAGTACTAAAGTTTTTTGGGTTTACTACACTGAAGCCGAGAAGAATATGTGGTGATATGATCTACATATTCAAGATTCTAAATGATATTAGATGTAAACAGCGTGGCAGTCCCACCACAGTGCTTCGATTTGCGGCCACACTGGTCTGACACCACCACGGTGATTAGCAAGACCAACACAGTGCTTTTTTCATTGTTCATCCAGTGCACTGTATTACGAAAATAAAGTACGAAATATGTAGCTATTGTTTCAGTCTCTCAGCATTGTTTTACTCGACTGCCACTATGATTAAACAGTTCCTGTAAATGGGTGTTAACCTCCACGTGTCAGGCAGGGTCAGGATTAATTGGTAATTTACAAAAGTGCCCAAAAGAAAAGTGTTTATAACAACACTGTGTGAAGCGATGCTTCTAATGTTAATAAATATGTGCCACTTTGTTCTTGAAAATGTATGCGTGGGTGTAAATGTGCTTTAGTCATTGCTAATGACACTCAATTCTCTATTATTATGCAAATGATATGCAAATTAGTTATTCCTGGGGAGAACACTGCTGTAACCTGTCCATTGTGAGGACAGGTAAATACAAACACTGTTATAAGCTGTTGAAAAGTCATGTGAGACTGGATATCAGAAAATAAGGTTTTCAAAAAAAACAAGTGGAATGCATGGCAAGAGTTTCTTTTGTACCCCCCATTCCTAACCCTAACACTCACTCCCAGTCACCAAATTCATTTGTATATGCGCCCTCTAGATAACTATAAATGTCCTTAGAAGAGCATGTACAATTAAATGGGGAGTGCTGGAGGGTAGGGGTAGGGTTAGGGATGGGGGGTACAAAAGGAACTCTTTCCGAATGCATTGCCTGCTGATTTTGTGAACGATTGTATTGTCAACTAACTTAAATTTGACACATTACGGTGCCACCAACATGATTTAATGTGTGTGTGTGTGTAATTTTTTTTTTTTATATTTTTACGATAATTATCACGTATTCAACTAAACTAAATCTCAGAGACGGTCATGACTTCATGATGGATGTGTTTGTTTTGTTTTTTCCCATAGTGGAGTTGTGTATACCAAAATGCCAGTGATAACATGTAGAGGTATGTAGACATAAATAACAGTTGCTATACCGACAAACAAAAAATATCTAAAGCATTACTTTTTATAGTCTTTAACCCCCCAAATTAAGTTCCTGTTCGACACAAATTCGAAATAGTCATTATTTAATAGCTTACCTCTCGCTCAAAATGAAATTACGTTGCACAACACTTCAGTGTTAAAGTCCCAGTAGTGTATATCGGTCTGTTTTTTCCCGGACTTTCGAGTTTCATATCCGTCCGACAAGAATTGTGACACTCCACTATAAGTCCAGTGTTTACAAGGCCGCCATTTTGAATACATAAGATTTTTACATGCCCGATAATCGCAAGTAAAATTGTTTAAACATAATCGGATCATGTGGTTAATAACATTGTATTTCCGTAAAGAACACACAATACGTAAATGACGTTTTGGGCAACTCGTGATCACACAAATTCACGGAAGAGCAACGTGAGCAAAATATTGTTATCAAACCACTATGAACACGCGAGAGTTTGCGAGATTTATGATTACCTTGTTCTCGGTGTTTTTTTGTCGCGAGGAATCACGGTACGATCGTAAACATAAAACTGGCATTAAATGACCCCAAATTGTTTGTACTTGAAGGCTGTCGGTGACCAATACACAACAAATACATTCAATGTCGAGGTCACTACATCGTACTCGTATTTGCGATTTTGGAAATCTACTATATTGCTCGAAAAAGTTGCTTAATTGACTGAAGTCGGAAATGGGGTAAGGTTGTTGTCTGTAACAGCAGACGAACAAGAAACAACGCAACGGCGAATTTTTGAAGATGACCTCGCGACGTAGAAAACAAAATGCCCCTCGCAGGTCTGCTAGTACCATTGGTGATCAAGGTAGTACTCTTAAGTTTTATCATTACTTCTATTTGGGTCAGTTTTGATTGTAAAAAACGGCGCATTTGTCGTGTTTTGAATTCATCAATATGGGGAAATTTCGACTGCTTGGTCATTGACAGCGCCCAAAATGGCGAAAATGCTAGTTAATATCCGTATGACAGCAGTATAAAGTGGTTTCAGTGGCAACATAGGCAACTCAATGACTCGTTAATGTTGACAGTGTTCTCCCTGTCGTGATTTTATGTTATTTCGAGTGTAACAGCGCTTGGAAACAATGTAGCGAATATGTATGTAAAGTGGGACGTCGATGTCTGCCATTTGTTTATTGTGGTCCCATTATTATCAAACAAGTTGCACAGTTAAAATTGAATGGGCGGCGGAGGGCTCGTGTCAAGTTGTGAGAGAATTATACAGGTCCATACAACACACATTTTAAGTGACATATGTCTGTCTCATTCTTTTAGTAATTTTTTTTGTAATAAACAGCTTTAAATTTAATGAAATATACTCAACAGTTCATACTGTGCATTTCATGAAGGCATGAATTTGTTTTATGACATTTATCAAATATTCATGAAACAATTACCCTGGAAGATCCTTGCACTTCATTTAATCCAAAAAAGAATCTTCCATTGACTATAGAAGCCATTTGGTAAGGCTGATTACCCATTTTTTTTAGGGTCAGTTTTTGTTGGTTTCCATCAGTTACTGGCAGATTTACTTGGATGCGGGCTAAACGCTAGCCTGGTAACCTCCTAAATACATGGTGATTAGTCTTGTGTTGTTCAACAGTCATTGATATACACATAAAAACAAGTTCAGGCCTTCATGAAATGCATAATAGCAATAATGTTACTGTGTTTGTATAGAGGTCTTCACTTTCTTCTACACTGATCAAAATAACTTTGGTCAAAAATTTAAAATCACAGATTGTACTTTCACTAAAGTTCTTAAAAATAGTGGGCTTATAATTCATACACTCCTTGCCACAGTAATTTTTAACTGTGCATGGTCTAAATTAAATTCACAATTGTAATTCTATTTATACTTGTTTTTATTTAGTGCCCAGCGTTTTCAACTCATGTGTTTTAGGGGGGTGGATGTTTACCCGAGCACCCCCTCGAAAAAGAGTGCAAATGTCAATTTTGGTTTACCATGTGACAGATTGAGAAGAATATTTCGTTTTTTGGGGAAAATAAAATTACGAAATTTGTTGCGTCGTCATTGATTTCAACAATACTTTTACAATCAAGAAACAGTCTGTTGGAACACGGTAAAGGTCAAAATCTTCATCATTATCGTCATTGTCAAGTGTGTTCCATCATACACAAACTCTTGATGCAAAGCATTTTCCACTATGTTGTTTTCTTGCACAATTTGACCTGCTGCACTTTATTATCAAAATTGGACGCGAATTCCCTTGAATCGCCAATTAGGTTCAAACTTGGTTCACAGCCAGTTGTGTTCTAGCACATCAAAGTTAATCTGTGTCACGATAGTCACTATCTAGGATGGTCAACTAGCAGCCATTTTGTCTATCGAAAACTGGGAATGATTTCAATATTTTGCACAGACCAACTCATGCCTGAGACGTAGGCTCCATGCCGGTCTCCGTGCTGTGCGTTGAAGAATGGACGCATTGAATCACCAGCGGTGCCTGCATCAAATATGCATTGTAACCAAAGTGATACTCTACAAAATAGTTAGACCAACTGTAGTTTTTGTTCAGTACTAGGCCACATACCAAAGACAATCTTAGCAAGTAGGAACTGAGGAAAGGCTACCAAAAATTGCATCAGCAATTCTTCGCGATCAGGAAAAATGTCACTATCCCGGGGTGTGGACATCCAGGTATTTTCACCACCTGACAACCATCATGGTGAAAACTAAGGCCGAAAACTCTCAGAAAACTGTATTTTGGGATAGTGGGTGTGACTCCCCTGAACAGTGCAACATGTATAAATTTGGTTGCTCAGGATTACCTCAAAGCCGAGTTTGTGCTGTTTTCTTGACTTTAACTGTCAAGGGTCCTGAACATGAAAAATTGCCAAAAAATAGGGATGGGCGATTGCCCGGACATGCCCCTGCAAAAAAAAAAAAAAAAAAAAAAAATGTCAAATGAAGACATGCAACGAAAATAAATGAACAATATGCAGCATTAAAACAAGAAATAATTTATTGCTTAGAATGTGACAAATAAACCAGAAATAATAAAAATCGACAGTGAAGAATCATTTGAATTGAATTTCCCCGCCGACAAACATGCCCAATACGCTTGAACTCAAAATAAATTAAAATGTCATGAGTTAAACTGCGTAAATTTATTTCCGGTTTTGACAAATACCGGATCAACAGCCATACAAGATCAATAATAATTTACACAGTAAAATAACGAAAGTTCATAGTTGTTTGAAAAAAAACACACATCTCAGATCTCTATTTGTACGTTCATTGTTATCTTCATAAAAGTCAAAACCCTCAACTTCCAAGTCACTGTCGCGATCAAACAAAATCCCTACAGCTTCGTCTTGAAGATCCTCGATGTCGTTCCACACAATTTGAACGTAGCACATTTAATCCACGGATTTCGCTGTCTGTCAGCTCAGCACTTTTAATTCATGTCTAATCAGAATAAAGATACAAGAAAAATGAGATCGCGGCAAATGACTCGCACGATGCTTTTGTTTACCGTGCAGCAATCATCTTTAACCTTTAAGCATTCGAGGTATAACACGAAACTACCAGAAAAGACCCCCTGGGCGTATGTCCGAATATGACCTTAACTTCTTTATTGTATCAAAATTGGGGGAAATTATATTTTGAAAGGTCATTATCAGGAATATGATTTGAGTGGTTGAATCAAGAACAAGAAACGATTTTGAGAAAAAAAGGTGCCAGTGGCCATTACATGTATCACACAGTAAGAGAGTTTATTGTCATGTTTTGTAAACAATATCTCGGTTCATTCTCGCTGTATGTCTGGATAATAATACACACCCACCCAATCATTCTCTCATGGTACAGTTTATCTTATTTAGGATTTGGTGCCCTGATACAATTCCGTTTTTATTTCGCAATAGTTTGAATGTCAGATTTGTGGTGCTAAATGTGTATGATTGCAGAACGTTTTTTTTCTTGCCTAAAGGCATTCGGCCAATCAAAAATCATAATATACGCAGCGATGAGGTGATTATTTTCACTTTTTTCTTGATTTTTCAAAAATTTATAAAACAGTTACTTTAGACCTTGATACATCATCCCAGGTTTACAAATTTCGAAATTGCGAAATAACGTTGCTTAAATTAGTGTTTTAAAACGCTAGCAGAAAAGACTACAACTGCCGTTTCGTGGATATTTGCATAATGTTTATCTTTGGAATGGTTTAAATGATAACATCTTATCTGTATACTCTGCTGTTGACGATTCTGATATAACGGGTGATAAGCTTCCCGTCGCAAACAATGCATGTTTATCTAACGTCCATTGTCAGCATTATTGTCAGTCGAGACTTCATCGGAGAAACATGGTCATACAGTTCGGGCATACAATACACATTTCGCCCAACCTTCCGCTTTTACATCGATCGCTTATCGCTTAATTTTCGACCATGCGATCTTGTCCGACCAGAAACCGTCCGCATTTTAATCGCGTTTTTTTTTTCGCTGGCTCGCTCATTGAAACACCAACCGCTCGCCCAAACACTGATCACTGGCACATGAGTGGTCGAAATGGTGGTTTTGATAGTAAAGTGTGAATATACAACTAGTATTAACTATTATTAAATTCTGAACGACACTTCAAATCTAATAGTTGTATGACACTTGTATCGTGAATTTAAGCAACTGTTTTGGGTGCTTGTTCCAGATGTAATATTTTAAATTATTTTAATGAGACAGTTACGTGAAAAAAGCATAGGTAACTCATTTTGACAGATCAGAGAAACGATAAAATATTAATGATTAATTCCAAAAATAACGATACCACTGAATCCACATCGGTCGGTCTGGTAAAATTTGACATTCAATTTTCAAAAATAAGTCACGATCATTGAATGAATTTAGTCTATACCGTATATGTATCGTAAAAGTGTTCCCACAAAAAATATTTTCGACTAAAAATGGCCACATGCCCTGAAAAAATCAAACAGAGCTTGACATGTATGAATAATTTATTAAGCTTAAAAAACGTGTCAAATTTAGTTATAGCCATAAATATTTGGTGGCCAGTCGATGAACAATTCGAAACTCAGGATTCACACGGAAGTCACCTAGGGCTGAAAATCATCGACCCTACTCTGGTTTACTTATTTCCCAACTTGCAGAGAAAACTGATTCGCCGTGGACTCTAATGTATCTCAGTCTTGTATTTTCTTTTTGAACTGAGGTCAAATTCCATTCGTTTGTCAAAATATACCGATGTTTTTCAGCTAATAATTTTGAAGCCAGTCACAGCACAAAAACACTATGTGAATCGACGCCGGGAGTTGGATGGTACGAGGACCCTTCACTTAGCGTCAAATATGCTTTATTACAACATCATTGATTACCTGAAAGTCACATGATCGAAGCACGACCTGGGTCACAGAACCATATTTGTCTGTATTATCAACAGGACCTCGCAAAAGAACCACACCCACATTTTCAATCTTTTTTTAGCGCGGAAGTTGCCAACAAATGTGAATTTCATGGATTCGAATAAAATAATGCAAACGATTGATAAGAATGATTATTAATATTTTCCCGGATGCTCTTCAAATTTTTTTTTTTTTTATTTCAAGGTAAGAAATGGCTAGTTGAAGTTGCATCGTCTTCAATGCGGCTGTTTCACCGCCAAGAACCGCGAAGAACTCTAGCTCAGTTTTATTAGATCTCTTATCAGAGACACTTGAAGGATTAGCTTGTTAGTAAACTGTCAGCGTGTACAGTGGGACAGTAATGTTTGTCAGAGGAATATCCCTTGTTTGTTTGCATAACAATGGAAACCCGAACGTTCCTGGAGTATGGACTCAAATGCCAGCAGTTTTCTTCATTTTTCACGCTCGAGCTTGAAATTATTCATTATCTGACACTCTTTATGAGTTCTATGATATCAGTGGTTAATATGTTTGGCCATTTTTAGTATATATTTATAATATTGCAGCAAATCTACAGTGTTTTATTAACACTGTTAATAACAACTGTTTTTTGCGTTTTTCTCGAGTTGAAGTTTTGATTGAGTACGACTCATTGGGACCGGCGTTCGTTCGGACTAGGACATTCATACTCGCAGTTATCGTTCAAAAGATAATGATGGTGTGAAATATGTCTGGGTTTTTAAAGAAAATGTCACAGAATAATAGTCTGTTAAAGGTGCCAAGTATGAAATAATTTGGGGACAAAAAAACAAACCTGCATAGAAATCGGAATAATAGGTTTTTTGATTACCGTGGACACATTTCAATGGACTTGATTACGGACAATGCATGACGTAAATTTCACCAGAAAATTTCACAGTGTGCTCTCGCAATCGCGGACTTTGTCATTTTTACAAGGTTCACCATTTTTTATGTCACGTGATAATTATTTAAACAATGACTGTCCAGTTTGTGCGAACTTGTACCTCTATACTTAGTCTTTTGAAATATATAAGCTAAATTACTGTTCTGAACGAGACAACAGACAGAGAATGTTTTATTCGAAAAACCCTTCTCGCTACCTTAACATATGACCCCAGTTTGACCCCAAAGACGCACTTATAGAATAATTTTCAGATATTTAAAAAAAAAAACTTTCATAAATTGATTTGCCAAACTAAATCATGCTAACTTTCTTGAAAATAGCATACCGTACTCGACCACATGCCCGGTCAAGCGCCCACCCCCCACTTTTGCGCAATTTTTATATTCGGGGTCACATTCGGCAAAACGCCCACCCTTTCAAAATGCCACTAATTTAAAACTTGGTCTTTGATCATTGCTTAATGAATACTGGTCATCGTTTTTATATCATGATACAGTACTACGGTAACCGTGCGTAAATTACGCTTCGACAATGACCTGTTAATAAAAGTAAAATGCAGTAAATATTTCATGCCGTATTCAGTTTACCGATAAAAATTGCTTGTTACCATTTTTTTTAAAAAACCATGTCGTTTTATTCGCTGAAATCAATCACTTCCGCATTGCGTTACCCGAGAGTCTTCGAGAATGTCCGAAGAATTGCATCAGTACCACACAGCATTTTGATTGGATAATAACAGACTTGACCCATTAGGTCAAAGGACGTTGATGCAGGTCAAATGCAAATACATCATGGCAGAAAGTGCTTTTTTATCGAGAGTTTACGTACGATCCGACACATTTGTCAGTGACGATAATGATGAAGATTTTGACTGTGTTCCAACAGACTCAAATATTTTTAATCTCTTAAATTCGGGTGGTACGTAATTAATTTAATATTGTAATAAAATGGCATATTTCTGATTCTTCAGTGTGAGAGTCGATGACGATGCACCTAATTTCATAATTTTATTCCCTCTCAATCTATCACACGGTGAATTAAAATTGTCAGTTTCACTTTTTTCCGAGGAGGTGCTCGGTTAAGCGCCCACCTCTAAAAAATCCAGATTTTATGAATACCCTGGGCGCAGTCGCGGTCAAGTACGGTAAAAATATGGTAATTTCAACCTTCGAAGAAACCATCCTGATTGCGTTGATAAACAGGCTTGAAAATCATTGCTGTAACTTAATTCATCAACTTTTTCTAGGAGTTTATGTTTTAACATTTAAAAAAAACTTGAACCCAGAATGGTATGAATTTTTTCAATTGCGCAGAATGATGGGCAAGGAAGATGGCACGGCATGATGGCGCAACTAGGTGGAGCACAATGCTTATTTTGGAAAATGTGCAGGTGCATTCTGATGATTCAGAGTACCGATTTTGAAGAATACAACACAGAATGATGGTGCGACTAGGGGGCACACAATGTTTATTTTGGGAAATGCAATGGACCATTCCGGTGGTGCAGACTACCGATTTTGAGCCTCACACATACCACTGTGTTTGCCTGGTGCTATGAAATTTATGTGAGTTTTTCTTGTAAAAGCACTCCAAGGACTAGCATACTTAACATAAATAAAATCTTTTTTTAGATTAAGCATATTGTCGACATACATCTATACAGGGTGTAAAACACCTGTATGCAAGGGGAAACCCCCAACTAAATATCTAAACATAAGGGCGTGAGCTTATACTCAGAGAAGAGCTTATGACCGGGGAAGTACAGTATGTACAATGGAAATCCCTTCCCATAATGCATTGCAAATATGCACAGTCGTATATTGCTCAGTAGTGCAAAATTTGAATTCTGCTCTACCTACCTCAATGTAATATGAAACATGTACTCTGACATTATTATACCCAAGACATGCACAAATTTCAAAGTTATCCTACTTTTAACTCAAGTAAAGGGGGCAGGGGAACATCTGGGGCTACATGAAAAACCTTTAATTTATTTTAACAACAAGAAGAAGTTCCTAATCAGCAAGTTGTAACAAGATAGCCATGATAGTAATTGTCTTATTGTTGTAGGAATTGTGTCTTTTTAACAATAATTGTCTTTTAAGCGTAACCGTGTTCTCACTAGAAAAAGTTATGCCGGCTTAAGTTGTACTCAGTAATTAAAAAGCTAAAAATTGTATAGTCTTTCATACTTACCAGTATTTATCGTGAGAGGCATAACTATTGTGACCACTGATTTGGGCCATGTAAAATATATAGTACATGTAGCTTTAAGTAACATAAATGTTCTGCTTTTCCCCCCAGATGAAACAGATGGAGGAGAGACGCCTCGAAAACGTACACGTTTCTTGAGTAGTGTTACCACAAGATCACAGACTAAGACAAAGCCAACACGATCTACATTGAAGACTAAAAGGAGTCTGAAAATGAAACTGAAAACAAAATTGAAATCAAAGAAAGCTGCTAAAGAAAAGGCAGCAAAAGCAAAGGTATGCTAGAAACAGACTGGTATTTAATAGTATTATTGTAATTTGAGAGCCATTTGTTCTGCAAGGACTGTGCCCAAGAAACAGGTACAGGAAAATGCTAAAAATGTATAGCACGTCATAACACACAAGTTCTTCACAGAGGTATATCACTGATCTATGGATTTTGAATCAAAATATGTAATTTTTGTAAAAAATTAGGCTGAAAATGATGTTTTTGCTAGTTGTCAGTAATGCATTGATCATTTTCATTCAAACCTCATGTATAGGTAATGTACATTACATTACATATGTTGATAGACACAATTACACAATTAAAGTTTATCAAAGGGGTCTCTTTGGGTAAAAATTTGTCGTTTTTGATCAAAAATAGGGTGAAAATGATGTTTTTGCATTTTCTCTGCAATTCACACATAGCGTATTTATCCAGGTGTAAGCCCAGGGTCCTGAACATGGAAAATAGCCAAAAAATAGGGGTGTGCGTTTGCCAGGAGATCCCCGGCAAAAAACCCCGAAAATTGACAACACGCAGATCGAACTGCGGCAGGGAATAGAACAGCAAATGAAAACAATATGAACAATATGCAACATCAGAACTAAAACAAAATTAATGTATTGCTTATAATGTGACAAAGAAACCAGAAATAATAAAAATCGACAGTGAGGAATCATTTGAATTAGAATTTTCCCGCCGACAAACACACCCAATACGCGTGAACTCAAAATGAATTAAAATGTCATGGGTTAAACTGCGTAAAATGATTTCCGGTCTCGACAAATTACGAATCAACTGTCATACAAGATCAATAATAATTTACAAATTTACACAGTAAAAATTATAAAAATTCATAGCTGTTTGAAAAAACTTCTCAGATCTTTATTTGTACGTTCATTGCCATCTTTGTCAAACTCAAAACCCTCAAAGTCCAAGTCGGTGTCACTGTAGCCGTCGAATAAAATCCCTACAACTTATTCCTAAAGTTCGTTGATATCGTCCCACACAATTTGTACTTTTAATCCACGGATTTTGCAGTCTGTCAGCTTGGCACTTTTCATTCGTGTCTAATCACAATAAAGAGTCAAGAAAAATTGGGTCGATCTGCTGCGATGGCACACGATGCTTTTGTTTACAGTCTGGCAATCATCTTTGACCTTTATGCATCTGCTTTACTGATTGGCTTAAAATGACATCACTACTAGTATTTCATCATAAAGGTCATATCGTGACATTGCTTTCTTATCAGACTCGACAATTATCAATCACGGTGAAAGTTATCATTCAGCAAGTTCCGGCGGTTGGAATGTCTCACTATATGGATATCGCGGAGGGCTTGAAATAGGAAGTTTTTTTTTATCCAACGACAGAAGAATAGTTTTCATGACAGAAATGCAATAGCGGTGATGAAAGATGGTAAACAAGTTGGCAGTCTTCGGCGTGAAATTGCAAAATTGCTGGCCCCAGTTATGGATTTGCAAGCTGCTAGCAAATATTTTATAAAGCCAAAATAACGTGATTTCAACCACTCTCCCAGGTACGGGTTGCTACAATATTGCAACATTGGTTTCATTGTCGATGACGCTAAAGCCGAACGAGTGCGACACTTGCTTAGCGGCTCTCCTTATACGATTTGCTTGAATCGTTTCTAAGGAAGCACAAACCAAACGGCCGACCCTTTTTAGGCCCACGACATATTTCAAAAAGAGAACTACCATTTCTGCTTTAATATATATTTTTATAGACTTGCTGACTGTTATGATTCTGAAAAAAATCAGCGGTGAACGCGCTGCCCTGAAGGCAAAAAGCTGTCCCAGCTATTTTGCGTTCACCCCTTGTTTTACGCAATTAACAATTATATTTAAAGAATTTTTATAAGCATCACGACAGACTTCAAGAAAGTCAACTGTTAATACAACCACAGTCAACGAATAGAAAATAGTTTTTTGTTATTTTTTTGTGTAGAAAAAGACCCCCTGGGCGTGTGCCCGGATATGACCTCAACTTCTTTATTGTGTCAAAAGTGGGGGGTGGGCGTTTGTCCAGGCATGGGCTCTTACTCGAATAAATACGGTATATAATACTCAGTACATTACATATATGGATAGACACAATTACACATTGAAAGTTTATTAGGAGTGTCTTTTTTTGGGTCAAAATAATGACTGGTGGCCAACTGGTGGCCATTTTGTTTATGAATGCAGTTTTAGATCCATATCTCAGAAGTGCTCTGACCATTCATGTTCAAATTTTATATATTCCTTAAACTTGATAACACATAGACTATGTAATGCAATTGCTTGTTTCTGCTAAATTCTTTTTATAACTGAATAAAATGCACAAATAAGTTTAATACTTGATTACAATAAAATTAAAAGGGCTGCACATGCACATTATTTCCCCCCTGAAATCCAATTAAAGATTGTTTTTTGTTCAATTACCTATATTTAAACCTGGTCAACAAACATTATATATCATTAAATTCATATGCACTTTACTTTGTTTTCTGATCTGATGAATTTGTTGAATGTTGATTTTTTTTTTTAATGATTACTTGTCTGACACCAATTCTTGGAGCTTGCTAAACTGATTTCAAGCAAACTTGGTAGGACGAGTTTCCACTATGACATTGTCAGTGTTTGTATTATTTCTTACAATCGTTTCAATCATTCTTGACTGAAACAGCAGTAAGTTCTGTAACATTCATTTCATTACCTTTTAGATAAAAGAAGAACAGGGCAGGCCATCAGATAAACCAAAAGGTAGAATACTGAACTTAGACCAAATAAGAAAGCTGTCTGATACTACTCTTCTGAAAAAGTTTGCAGAACATAGAATTGATAAAGTAAACAAAAAGTCTGATAAAATACCAGCTGAGCACATGTATATCTGCAAGTTGTTGCCTGATAATTGCTGTAAAGTTGTGAAAGGAGTTGATAGAATTGCCAAACATGATATGAAAAGACATTTACTAGCCCATATTGGAGAGTTACTTACACTGAGTGCTACAGGTGAGTACAAATAAATTTAATTATATCACTGTAATCAAAACATACCATAAATACTACTTATTTTTCAAACATTACAGTCAAATTTATGTTTTCTTATTCTCTGATGCCTATTCAAGAATACCGTGTTTGGTACTGTGAATGGTTTCAACAATGGACTTCTATCACCATGAAAAGTGTTAAATACTTCTGTTCATTAATGTTTCACTTATCTTCCAAGAATTACTAATTCCTGTTTAAAGTAAAAATTATCCTGTTTTTCCACTAATATCCATGCTAGAAGGACATACTTAAACATTGATCTAAAACACTTCTGTGTTACACTCGCTAATATCAATACTTTCTGCAATACCACTAATCATTCTATCTTGTTATTAACTAGCTTGACCTATCTCTACTATTCCACGTAAAAGTGAGCGTAGTCCCTTATTATCAGATGCGCCCATCTCACAAGGTCATAGGGTTCAAACTGTGTGAATATTTAATTAAATATGGTTGCGTTATTTTTAACAAACGTCCTGCTCATGTGAATTCACATTGGTTTCTTTAACATTAAGTTAGACCTCTGAAACAAACTTGTATCAACTTCATGTTAAACTGAGCGTAGCTTTCATTACATCACCGGCATTCCATGGTTTGTTCCCACGCTTACTTTTAAAGGTGAGCGCACTCAAGCTTTCCATTGTTTGGCTTCACGCTTACTTTTGAAAACTGAGACGCTCAATTACCGCGCTCAACTACCACATAGATCCCTATTTACATACATGCTGTGTCGGATGAGTATGGTAAGTCATCTATCGCCCTCAAAGAAAACTTTGTTTTGTTCACCTAAATTCTGTATCATTTGAAAATGTTACAGGCTTAATTATGGAATGCATTACAGTTGGCATTCTTACTTTATAAATAGTGCAACTTATTTAAGGTAGAGATGCAGTTTATTTGGCTTGCTTTTTAATTGAGTAATTAGACAATGAAGATCGTATTATATATCCAACATGTTATATATTTTCTGAAAGCTTATTATACAAACTTTGTAAAATTTGTCTTTATTTTAAATATCCAGAATGCGTTTTTGATTTTGGGTC